TATTATTATTATTATTATTATTATTATTATTATTATTATTATTATTATTATTATTATTATTAATTCCCCAGCTTGCATGACCATTGTTAAGAATTCTGGGAGTTGAAGTCTGCCTCAGATCACCCACTTTTCCTGTCTTCCACATAGCTAAATGGGTGCCAGTTGCTCTTACTGAGAGAAACAGTCAAGGAATAATTGAGAGACCATAGTGAAGCCATCTTCCTATGAACTCTGTGGGAAGCAATAGATCCCTGTCCACAAATGAAAGGGCCAACTCGCTGCAATCAATTAGCCATGGCCAGTTCACTGCGGGACAGGAGTTACACTAATATCAAAGAGATGGTGGACAGAATCACCAAGAAAGGATGCAAAGGAAGGGACAGAATGAGTTGTCCCATTCCATGCTCGGGGAGCCCTTGAAAATCCTGCTCAGATGCTGCTAAAGATAGATAGGCAGATGCCAGTAGAGCAGTGGTTTTCAACCTGTGGTTCGGGACCCCATTTGGGGTCGATCGACCATTTCATGGGGGTCGCCAAGCAAGGCTGTCCGCCATTTTTTTTGTCCGCCATTTTTTTTGTCCGCCATTTTTTTCCCCTTTTCCGGCGGGTGCCTTACCTCCCTTGGACTGGGCCAGCTGGTGGTCAGCCTGCTCCATCTCTACTGCTTGCCAGCTACGCCTCGGCCGGCGCAGGGGGCGGAACCACGCATGCGCGGCGCTCCTGGGCAGGGAAAGTCCTCGACTTACGTCCGGTTGGGTAGTCCTCGACTTACGATTGGTTTAGTCCTCGACTTACGACCGGTTTAGTCCTTGACTTACGACCGGTTGGGGTCGCGGCATTAAAAAGGTTGAGAACCACTGCAGTAGAGCAAATAAAACAGCCCAGGATTTTGCAATATAGTTTTTTTTACACACACACACACACACACACACACACCAGTGACCTTTCCCCCACTTTTGACAACTATGAAATAAAAGCGGTCTTCTTGACTTTCCCTTGATTTATATTGATTTATTCCAAATCTCGTGAGAGAGGCTGACAAGCAAATGGAGGCAAAGTTAAATAAAGGCTAAAAGAGGCATCGGAGGTATTTGCACATAATAAGGGCTACAATTAAGTGACGGTCTCTCCTCTTAAAAATATAAAGTGGCAGATGAGACAAAAATGATGAATTGGGAGTTACTGCAAAATTTTCACTTCGATTTTGATTATCCCATCTTCTGGCAGTAAGTCCTCCAATTGCCTTTGATCTCCTTGTTCTTCGCATTGTGTTATCGTGACTTCTCCTCTCCTGATTTCTAGGATTTTGCAGACTATCTGAAAGTCATGTTTTGAACCTGTCAGGAGAAGGCAGTTTGCTCAGACATGGTAGCCATGCCAGCTGGTAAAATTCTCTTGGAGTTAATGTGCTTGTTGGTTCAACCAAATCATATAAAATTCTGTCTGGGCTATTCATTATGATCATGAAAAACAGAATACCCGGGCTTCATCAATATGCAGTCAATTCACTTCACAATTTATGTTGTGAAAGCAGATGCACACAAACGCACGGACATGCACACACACACATGTTACCCTACTCGATCCCTCTTTAATGCTCCACGAAATCTCCAAAAACCAAAACAAGGCTGCTGGGAAAGCACATTTACTCCGGTTAGTGTAGCATTTGCTTGCTACACTAACATAAACATGTATTCTTTGCTCTATAAATTTTGAGTATTTGTAAGTAAAGCTGGGACATGGCAGAGTCCTTTTCTCCGTTTCTAAAGTGGCACATGCCACTCTAGCGCAGTTTTTCTCGCTGGCTCAAGTTTTCGGTGGAAAATACAATGTTTCCGCTAGAGAAATAAACTACTCTATATTCACTACTCTGTCCTATGAAACCGTCACGGGAAGCTTGCTCCTTCGTTGAGTCTGACTTGGTGCAATTCCATGAAACATTACAGATGGTGAGCTGTATTCAGGAACTGCCGCAGACTTTATGGGGAGAGATTTTGCCATTTTCCGCACTCTGGGGCACCACCACCCGATCCGGACCGAACAGCATGATTCCCGCTGGCTCAATGGTAAGTCTCCCTCTTCTTTTATATTTTCTTCACATTCACCAAATTCTAGCACTGTTGGCTTCCTTTCAGCACTAACCTGCTGTGCAATATTAAAGCGGTCAATGACATGTACAGGAGTCGCATTACAAAGATGGAGATATTGCCTCAGTATTAACTACACGGCTGTTTCTGGTGCCAGAGACCGCATAAGCGCCGTTGCTGTAGACCTTTGCTTTGCTCTTAGAAGTTGGCCTGATAACTAGAAATAGGCTTTGTATGAGTTCATTTCCCTGCCTTCCATCATGAAACCAACAGCTGTCGTACATTTAGCGCAAACTCTCATTGACATGCAAATATTGGCTTGGCCCAAGATGTCCATTTCTTCTTCAGCCAGGCGGAATTTTAAACATACCTGGAGTCAGTTTCTAACTTGCGGTTTTGGAGGAAGCATATTTGCATGCAGGATGGAGGAACAAAGTTTAAGGCCCTGCTGACAGAGACGTTTCCAGAGGCAAATCTGATCCCGTCTGCTGCAGTTGGGTTACATGTCCAGCCAAAAAGGATGGGAGAAAAGGGAACTCTCAAAAACTGCTCCAGCCTAAGCACAGAGGAGACATTCTGTTCCAAAATTCAAAACAACAGAATCAGTAGGATCATTTCTTTTTAACGTAACTCAATCATTCTTCAGGATCGGAGGGAAGGGGCTTTTAACCTCCATAGCTATACTGGGCTCCCACCCAGAATCTGAAACTGTGGCTGGTCCTTTGACTTAACAATTCCTCTCAGTTCATATATTTTATTGTCTTCCTGCTTGCTTTCTGCTTCGTTTTCCCCTCAGATTCCCTGTTTCCACCAGCCTGGGAAGATGGAGTTTTGAAAGATGGCATCCGCAGGAGTTTAAAAAAAAAAAATCCAGATAGCAATTACCACACCACATAGTTTCAGCCAACATCTTGATTGTTCTCTCTCACTCACTCTCTCCACACACGCACACAAATTTAAACATAAGTAAAATAAATGAAGGTTGCAACTTCATGAGAGTTTTTATGTCTTGTGGGATGTTTGGGACCTGCCCTTTTTATTCTGACATTTTTATTACGTTTTGCAACTGATCCTTGTCGTTCCAAACATGTGAATTGTATTTGCTTTAAGCCACATCTTTATGTGTGGGCTCATCTGGGCACCTTTGGGTTTCTCAAAAGTTCCAGATGACAGTCTATAAAGTATAAAAGCCACGTCTTTGAAAACCCCTCGCTGTTGGGTTGTTACAAGGAAAGTCTGCAATAGCTGTGGACTTGTACCATAAAGTTTTTTCTTTTTCTTTTTTTTTACAAACTTAAAGAATTTGGGAAGCCTTTTAATTAAATCAGCACCCTGCGCCAGACAACGTAGCTTACTGATTGGGAGTCCTATAGGCACTAATGTAATATAAATAACAACAGTGAACCTCTGCCAGACATCTGGTTCTTCTTGGTGTCTGAATAAGAACAGTTCTGGACAGGTTTGTGGGCGTGTGTGTGCTGTTTGTGAAAGATGCATCAGTAAACCATTCTTTTTTGTCTATGTTTTTATTATCATCTTCAACAAGGGTGTCAAACTGCCGGCCCGCGGGCCGGTTTCATCATACCAGAGCCGCGCCCACCCCATTGCCGGCAATGGTGAAAAAGCTCCGATACGTCACGCGACGTCACATGACGCCACGAGTTTGACATGCCTGATCTTCAAGATAGCCACACAGGCAAGGCTAGAGAGTACCTATAGAATAGAAATTCTGTAGCTCAGGCTGGAACTGTGAGGTCCTTGGTGGTGGTGGTGGTGGTGGTGGTGGTGGTGATGATGATGATGATGATGATGATGATGATGTTGTTGATGATGATGATGATGATGATGATGATGATGATGATGATGATGATGGAAGGGACCTTGGAGGTCATCGAGTCCAACCCCCTGCTCAGGCAGGAAACCCTATACCATTTTGGACAAATGGCTGTCCATTCTCTTCTTAAAAACTTCCAGTGTTGGAGCATTCACCACATCTGGAGACAGGTTGTTCCACTGGTTAATTGTTCTAACTGTCAGGAAGTTTCTCCTTAGTTCTAGGTTGCTTCTCTCCTTGATTAGTTTCCATCGGTTGCTTCTTGTCCTGCCTTCAGACGCTTTGGAGAATAGCTTGACTCCCTCTTCTTTGTGGCATCCCCTGAGATACTGGAACACTGCTATCATGTCCCCCCTCGTCCTTCTCTTCGTTAAACTAGACATACCCAATTCCAGCAGCCGTTCCTGAGCTCAATGGTTTTCTTGCTTTTTCTTGCTTTCTTGCAGATGGTTTGCTATCCGCAAGGCAGTGGTGGGATTCAGCCGGTTCACACCATTTCGGCAGAACCGGTAGCTAATTTTTTGCTGCCCAGGCCCAGAATGGACTTCCGGAAGTGGTATCCATGCATAGAACTGGTTGTTCACATATTTGAATCCCACCACTGCCACAAGGTAACATCTTCTGTGCTAGAAAGGAGTGAGGTTTACTCTTTGTTTATATACTCCTCTTGTCAGAGTTGGTGGAGATGTCGCTTTCTCATTGGCGGTTCTTTCATTAGGTGGTTGTTTACTGTTTGCTTGTTTGCCTGGTGTTGCTCCTAGTGGTAATCTGGCTGTTCATTGCTTGTTGCAGGTATTTTGGATTGTTTTTATTGTCTCTTCTGGTGTGTAAACCTGAACGCTGATTTGTCTGAGTGCCAAACTTCTAGGAATTCCCTACCTCTTGGGCCTTTAACTTGGTCTAGAGCAGGGGTCTGCAACCTTGACAACTTTAAGGCTTGTGGACTTCAGCTCCCAGAATTCCTCAGCCAGCTATGCTGGCTGAGGAATTCTGGGAGTTGAAGTCCACAAGTCTTAAAGTTGTCAAGGTTGAGGACCCCTGGACTAGAAGACCTCCAAGGTCCCTTCCAACTCTATTATTATTGTCATTGTTATTATCTGCTGTTGCACAGCCCTCCGAATCTCTTATTTCATTAAGTCATTTGCAGGTGGTTGAGGAATCCTGGGAGCTGAAGTCCACAAGTCCTAAAGTTGACATGGTTGCAGACCCCTGCACTAGAGTGCTCACAGTTTCCCAGGTGAAATTATGGTTGACTCTGACCATGTGTTGTGAGTTTAAGGACTTTATATCCTATCTTCTGCCTCTACGAGTTGGTGTACATGGACCTTCCCTGCTCGTCTTCTGCCTGTCTGTCCTACATAGTGGCTGTTAGTGGTCAGTGGTGGGATTCAGCAAGTTCACACCACTTTGGCAGAACCAGTAGCTAATTTTTTGTTGCCCAGGCCCAGAATGGACTTCTGGAAGTGGCATCCACGCAGAGAACCGGTTGTTCACATATTTGAATCCCACCACTGGCTGTGGTGGGTTGAGTGGCCAACACTACTTGATAAAATGGCACAGGTATCCTTTTATAGGTTGATTATGGATGATGTTGTACAGCTGTTCTGTTTATTGTTGCTGCAGTGTACTCCTCTGAATAATGTTCTTACACGGCTCCTCTGGTGGGAGGTTGGGCTGCAACTTCCATGTTGGATCAGAACAATTTTGCCATATCAGTTTGTCTGCTGAGGGGGTGTTCCTACAAGGTGCCAATCAAATCAGGACCGGCAGCAGCTGATTCACTTGGTCATTATAGGAGGAGATCCTTCTGTGGGGGCAAAAAAACAGGAGTTTGGGAGCACCTTTTTTGGACTAACCCATTTTATTAAAAGGTGGAAGCTTTCAGGAAATGCCAGAGCCCCCCTTTCTTTTGGTGACCACCCATAGGGTGGGTTTTTTTTCCACCAAAGGACACATTTGATATTTGGGAGCTTATTTTGAGCATCCTCCTGATTACCGTGGTGGTTTGGCCAGCCAGAAAACATCAGCAGCAAACAAAAAAGAGTATCCACTATTTGATTTTCAAGAAGGTACTGAGACATGACAGGGATGCAGGCGATGCTTGAGGTTGGTGCTTTATTTTATGAGCTTCCTAAGTATTCTTTTTTTTTTACAAAATTAAATGAGGCAAGTCTAGGAGGCTGATGGATGTCAGGAATAGCTATTGGTCACATTATTGTCTGCCCCTTCCATGCTCTAGAGCAGGGGTAGGCAACCTTGGCTCTTTTATGACTCATGGACTTCAACTCCCAGAATTCCTGAGACAGCTTGGCTTGGCTGGCTCAGGAATTCTGGGAGTTGAAGTCCACAAGTCATAAAAGAGCCAAGGTTGCCTATCCCTGCTCTAGAGAGCCAGGCTCTGTATACTGTTGTGCTTTAGGCATGTCACACCATATCTGAACTGGAGAACCTCAGATGACCACTAGATGGGAGCGAAGGGGTACAGAAAAGGCAAGTATTTGCTATCATCTTGTGGTCATTCTCATTTTTACAGCACAAATATGATATGCTGTATTATATGTGCCTTGTTATGATCACTCTTCTGTGACAATCATCTTGCCTTTTTTTCATGCTGCCTGCCTGTGGCTCCTTCCAGCAATACTACATAGTTATTTGTTCTTTTACCAGCAGCCTGCACTAAAGAGTCATACATGCATATCCATGCCCTACAATGAAGTCATTTCAAACTGCCCCGCAAGGGATTGTTATCATAGGGGAAATAATTTGTGGGAATTTTGTCAGAAACCTGCATATCATCCCAGAAGGACAATTTGCCAAGGGCCTGATGAAGTTTGCACAGTTCTGTTGAAAGAAAAATCTTCATCAGGGTCCAGTCCAAGCTGGGAATAAACAAAATGGAGACTGCTTTAGAAAGAAGGTTGCAGTTTATTGAAGAGGAGAGCCAGACAGAAAGATGGCTCTGGGAAAAACTGGCCACATGTAGCAAGGAGTGGTGGGTTTTTATACCTTCTGGGGCTCTTGAGGTTGTTTCCTGTTCCTGTTTGAGGTTTTATATTTCCTGACCTGAGTCTGAGTGTCCCCTTTTGGTATTGGTGGGTTAATCCTATTATGTCTCCTGTCCTTAGAATTTGGGTGGGGGTTTGTA